CAGTTTTCATCTATCTCATTGCTGCTACTTTGAATTTTGTGAATAAGACAAGGATGAAGTAAGTGAAACGAAATGTTAATAAGGTCTAAATGTCTTTTCTTATTTCCAGACTCATACTGTAAAATAAAAATCCAAAGATCTCAACAGTCTGTTGATAATGAGATCTAAACCAATTCAGATTGGCTCTATTCTTTTAAAGAAATGCAGAAAGGATATTACAACTATGCTTCTAATGATTTGAGAAAGCTCTTACCCATTCTTGATGATATCATAGGCTGGAGTGTTAAAATCATGAGGATCAGGTGATGCCACACATGTGTCCACAAACAGGGTCAGGTTTGGGTCAGAGCTCTGAAGATAAGCTTGCAGGTACAAATTTTGGTTCAAGTCAATGTAGTATGGGGAGTCGTGCACTTGCCGCAAGAATGATGAGGAATCATAGAAAGTGATGTTCATGTCGTATCTTCCAAACTGATTTACATTCACATCTACAGTATCCTCAGCAACATACATTATTTGCATCCATGTGTTCTGTAGCATTTTGCAACTGATATGTAAGTGAATATTCTTTTTCCTCTTGATTATGTACCCAGAAGATGTAACTTTGATCATGTTGGAATAGTTGATTGTATCATTGTTCTCCTGTTTAACATGTAATTTAAAATGAAGAATTGCATTTTTGTCATGTTCCATGTTCTAAGCTTTCATAGAGTAATATGCAATTTAAAAATGTAAATTCATCTTAAACTCTTTAAACCAAGAAGCTTGATGTTGGTCTTTTCTGCTCACACACTGTAATTAAATTTGCTGGAGTATGTAATTAAACAGAAATCAGTGGAGAAAAACTCTTTGTTAAATCCAAGGCAGAACCAACTCACTGAACATCTGTACAAAGCACCAGTCATGTAGCACACAGTCATCCCAAACCTGCATGACACTTAGGAGACTACATCTACTTTAAATCACGGAAAGTTCATATAACCTCCTCCTCCCATGCTTTCCTCCCTAGAAACTAATTTCTATTAAGCATGGGGATTCCCTAAGGCAAGGAAAACTAAAGCACTAAAAACCTCCGAGTCTTGTTGGTTCACTTCTTAGCACAATGGCCCTTTCATGACTCTTTTCGAGGCAGATGCTGCAATTCAGTGTGCACAACAGTGAGCGTACCTCTCGTATCGTCCCACAGCCGTTGTAGGGAATGTTGAATATAACCTCGTGTGACGTGACTGTTGGTTTACAGCGAGTGTCATTCAGGGTGACCATCTGCACTGAGTAGCCTTGAGACTGGAGATAGTCTCTGCTAACCACTGCATGCATGTAGTCCGGCAGGCACAGAAGGGCTGATAAAAGAAGATACAATATATTCATAACTTCATGAATTTGTTAATGATTAAAGATTGTAATTGAACCAAATGTTGTTATTTTCTTAATTTAGAAGGTAGGCAGTTCACACACCAACCCATCATATTTCACACGCATCATTTAATTTCCCTAACATCTTTAAATATACACAAATACCTATTTTGCAAACAAAAACAATAAACAGGCTTGTCCATTGGGAAACACCAACCAGGAACTTACTAGTGTTGTGATCTGCTGGAATGGCGGAGTAGTGAGCCTGAAACCCTCTGAAGGTGTATCTAAAATCGCTGTGAAAGTGAACAATCATCATGTTCGAAGAGGATATATACGTGGGAAAGGAACCAGAACAAAGTCTCCCAAGAAGCGGGGAAGAGTGTGGAGGCCCGTCATAGACTTCAACGTAGTCATACTGGCATCTGCTGCTTTGCATCCTGGTGAACAAACATCATCACCTTGTCAAATGCATTTCAGAAACTCTGATTTAACTGCCTAACTAGTGATAAAATCTTTCAGCACTTAAAGTTTTCATGGCAGAGGTTTTATTCATATTGTATGTATCTGTAGCAGCAAATCATGAGCAGAAGATACTACAGTAATCCAGATTTTGTTCTGGTCTTCCAACTGCTGGATGTTATTGAAAGTATCTTTAAAATTGGGAAGGTTGCCGTTTCAAATAAGTTTTCAAACTTCTCAAGTAAGTTTTGACTTTGTTATTTGCCCAGGGAATCAATGTTTTACTTACACAATATCTCTAAATGTGAGCATAACACGGAAATTGTTCTCTACTTGTATTTCCCACACACAGTCAGCATTGTTTGGATAACTTCCAGGGTAGAATGGACTCTGAAGCACCCCAGAGGAATTTGAGATTGAGCCACCACAAAAATAAGGTGCTGCAGAAAGAAATGGAAGAGAATTTTACTTACAGTAACCTCTATAAAATTGTACTTGATTTGTATGTGTCTCGTCCACAGCTGCTGAAAAGCGGGTCTCCTGCTGACTGCAGGTGATATTCTGTATGACCCAAACCAAAACAAATATTTGATTTTGCTTTAGGTTTACTTTCATGTTGGATTCAGGATTCCCTGTCCCATCCATGGTGTCAGACCACCCTCTTCAGGCTGGGCTGGTAACACCCCGGCGCTCTCTGCTCTGGGCTCTCCTTTCCGCAGTCGAGTCTGATTCTGGGAAGTTTCATGAGAGTCAAAATGGAAGTATTTTCCCAAACGGACAGGATCCCCTTGCTTACTCTGCTGCTTCTCTTTATTCCCCTAAGGACTTTGGAGGATAAATAAGTTGCAAGTCTTCTAGGAAAGTCTGTAATTTTATTGTCTCGGGCAGAAATAAGCACTCCAGGCTGCTGGGCCAAGTCTTAAATGTATCTATCTCAGTTCTCCTATGAGCATAGCTGCATGTTTCTGCCAGCATGAATGACACATAATTCTTATGTTAAACACACAATAGCACTAAATTTTTCCTTATATGAAGGTGAGCACAAGCTCTGAACTTAATTCTTACAAGATGTGACACGTAAAGGCAACAACCCCCATTTTATATTCCTGCACAGGGACAGCCCCCGGTGCAGCACCCTCCTCCCTGCCTCAGGAATTTGGGATTCTTGGGCCATTCCAAGCTTGGGAGCATCAGCTGTACCCAGACACTGCCCGTTCCTCTGATCAGACTGGATGGACTCTCAGGTACCTTCACTTTTGTACTATTTTCTCCTGTGAATAGTCAAGCTCTAAATCTAAAAACTGCTTTCTAAGGCAAAAATAGCAGGCTGAAGACCGCAACAGCTCTAGTAAGCAGAAGACCCCCAAATTACACATTGCAATACTTGAATACCACCCTGTCAATACTGACGTGTATGGTTGAAAGTTAGAGATTTAGACAATGCTTCCTAAGCCTTGACCCAGCTGAAGAGCCCAGCGAGGAAATGGCTTGCCCACAGCCAGCCAGCATAACTGCAAATTAAGAATCACTGAAATGTAAGGGGGTATCACAGCCTAAGAATTATCATACAAGTTTAAAGTGATATTGCCATAGAAACAAAAATCAAATTAAAAAAAAACCCAACAGGGACACAGCCCACAAACAAAAAAGGTGAGAAAACCACAGAACCACAGAAGAGCATTACCTGATGGAGGTGTCGGGGTGGCCAGAGCAGCTGTGGGTGTGGAGGAAGAAGAGCCACAAGTGAGACGTGTTGCTCAGGACAAAGGTGCTGGAGCACAGACATGGCACCACCTTGGGCCATAGGGGACCATGATGGGGACCATGGCGAGGAGAGGATGGGAACACAGGGGTCTGGGCACAGAAGGTCATGAGCTCCATGGGAGACACAGTGGCCTCTGCTGCCCACGCACCTGCACAGATGACACTGGCGTCCTCCACATGCCTGCAGTTGTGCACACCCCAGCCGTTGTGCCTGCACATCTGGAGGGAGGGCTCATCCCCATGGCACTGCACATTGTCCAGGAAGATGGGCCCGGAGCCGAAGCCAAAGTGCGCGTTGCCTGGGGCGTCTGTGGGCTGGCCACAGCCCAGCTGCTGGCACACCACCTGGGCATCATGCAGGTCCCACCAGTCGTCACACACCGTCCCCCAGCTGCTGCCATTGTACACCTCCACGCGGCCCTCGCAGCCATTCCTTCCACCGGAGAGCTGCAGGCGGATGCCTGGGGTGAAGCACATGGGTTAGGGTCCCTCCAGCCCAGCACCCTGCAGTCCCCAGATGGGACCCTACAACAGGCAGCCTGCATGGTTGCTGCAAGGCCAGGGATGGGGCTGGTGGGTGCGAGTTACTTGTCAAATACAGCCAGTCTGCGGTGGGCACTGAAGCTATGGATGCAAGTAAGAATTTGGTGTCAATGAAAAAGGCTCTGAACACAGTCAGTGCATGTCATGCACCCCAAATTAGTCTGTCTTCAAGGATCCCCTGTCCTATGTCACATCCTGTGGAGGTTTTTCATTCAATTGAAATAACCATCATGACTTCTGTTTCACACAGCCATCTGCTCCCTGGGCAGAAACCACATGCCTATGGAGATCTAGCTTGCATTACAAAACATTTGATGCAGCAGATCTCTCTTTTCCAGTCACATCCCAAATCCCAGAGCATGTCTAGGAAATAGCTGTGTTACTACCCTTGCAGGAACTGGAGGGGAAAAGGCAGAATGATCCCCTGTCTCAATCCCCCCAGTCACAGTGAGAGGAAATCCCTGCCCAAACAGTTTCCTTCACCAGCAATGGCTACAGAGGTCCTGGACTCAAGCCTCAGCCCTACAGTTTGCCAGCTCTTTTCCATGGTCTATTTGCATCCTCACTGTGGACTTGGGTGCCAGGAATGGCCTAACTGGAGTGGCCCAGAAAAGGGAGACTTTCTCCAGTGCAATCAGGTCTGGGAAGGGAGATCAGAGGCACTAAGGAGATCAGTGAGTGACAGCAGACAGGGTTACCTGGTGTGCTCCCCTCTGTTGTGGTAGCCATTGACACTGTGGTGGTCATCTCTGCTAGGGTAGTCATCTCTGCTGTGGAGGTTGTTGGCATTGTGGTGGTTGTCTCCACTAGGGAGGACATCTCTGCTACGAGTGTTGTCGGTGCTGTGGTGGTCACATCCACTAGGGAGGTTGTCTCTGCTAGGGAGGTCATCTCCATTATGGAGGTTGTTGGTGCTGTGGTGGTCACCTCCATTAGGGGCATCATCTCTGCTGGGGGGGTTGTTAATGCTGTGGTGGTCATATCCACTAGGGGCATCATCTCTGCTGGGGGGGTTGTTAATGCTGTGGTGGTCACATCCACTAGGGGCATCGTCTCTGCTGGGGGGGTTGTTAATGCTGTGGTGGTCACATCCACTAGGGGCATCCTCTCTGCTGGGGGGGTTGTTAATGCTGTGGTGGTCACATCCACTAGGGGCATCGTCTCTGCTGGGGGAGTTGTTAATGCTGTGGTGGTCATATCCACTAGGGGTATCGTCTCTGCTGGGGGGGTTGTTAATGCTGTGGTGGTCGTCTCTGATAGAGAGGTCATTAGTGTGGTGGTTGTCTCATCTATGGAGGTCACCCCTGTTACAGACATTGTCTCCAGTGTTGAGTTTGTTGGTACTGTGGAGGTCTTTCCTGTGAATACAGAAGAAAAACACCACTCAGATGAGGAACGTGCTTGCGCAATGGGTACATCTATGTGTTAGGTACACACCTAGTTCCTCAAGAATGAAGTGAAATCATGACACATTACTCTGATGGCATACTCCATCTTGACTGGGGTCAATGGAGACCATGGAGGTGGGGAACAGCCAATTGGAAATTTTTCATGGAAGTGGTATTTCCAGATGGTGACAGCAGGGAAAAGTACTGCTGTGGCATCTGCTCCCAGCCACAGGACACCATGGCGCAGGTGCGAGCCAGAGGCTGTCCTGTACAGGCTCCTGCCATGGAGCCAGAAGCTGTAGGGTTCCTAGCAGCAGTAGGGCTTGGACCTATCAATCACCATCGCAGACACCCTTCTGCAGAGGCTCAGGTCATCCCCAGGAGCAGCCTGGAAAGTGGTCTTGGGACAGTGCTTGGTGCAAGGCCAGGAGTGGATCAGGCCGGCATGAATTACCTGTTGAATATGGCCAGTCTGTCATAGGCACTGGAGCTACAAATGCAAGCAAGAAGTAAATGGCATTTAAAAGGCACTGAACACAACACACATATGGTAAAGGAGGTATAAGAGGAAGTTTTGTTGTTTTCTTCCAAGTGCAAAGCACCGATGTAGCTAGCATTTTCTTCTTGCATGAATTCAGCTCTGTAGGCTCTTCCTCTAAGGAAATGTAGAAAACTGCAATATATATAAAAGACCTGAACAACCTGTTGTTGTCAGCCATGTCTCGTTTCATAATGATCTGCTGGTAATGCAGGAGAAAATAACATACAAATGAACTACATTTTCTTACAAAGTAAGGGGAAAGTAAAATCAGAAAACAGCAAGGTGACAGGGTGGATATTTGTAAAGGAAAAGAATATTAATGGACCTAAATCTGAAGGAAAACTTGAAAAAAACAGAACTAACGCAAAGTGAGTTGTCAGCTATGGCAGTTTGTGTTGTGACTGTAAAATTATTATTGCCCATAAAGAATACATTAAGGCTTGAGGTAAAAGGATGAGTTTCACGTAGCCCCATTCCTCTCTGACAAACACTGCTTACCAGACATAGCTTTGCCTCTAATCTTGACATGTTTCTTATTCTCTTAGTCACTGCTGAGTGATTATACAGAATAAAAGTTCTGCATATTGCAATGCACATCTGATCCTTGGGTTTTTTAATAGCTTTGCATGAAGTGAGCAATCAGAGTTTGTGTAGCATCCGAGTAAGAAAAAAAGTGAGTCCATGATGGGTCTACAGGGTCAGCAGAGTAAAAAGACAGGGCTCCTGAAAGATCAGACTGTGCTTCCTGAGAACAGGCCTTTTCAAAGAGAGTGTGCCCTTAAACAGATACAAAATTCTTCACAGTAAAGTAGAAAGAAAGATTAGATATCTATCAGGTATACCTGGTATAACTTTCCACCATATGTCTCGAATGAATGAAATACACTATCAGGAAGAGAATACCTGCATACCCCAATGCTGACGCATGTCTATTGACAGTAACTTACAGAAATATTATTAAGAAAAATGTGACAGCACCTGAACAGACAACACCAGCATCTTCATAGTGGCCACAGCTGTTTATGCTCCATCCAGCACGATTACAATGCAACAAAGACAACTCATTTCCATTGCAGACCACATTGCCCAGAAGTATGTCGCCGGAGCCTTGCCCAAAGTAAGCACTTCCCATAGCTGCAATGGCCTGGCCACATCCCAGCTGCCTGCACACGACCTCAGCATCGTTGAGGTCCCAGCTGTCATCACAGACAGTACCCCATCCTCCATCCTGGTAAATCTCACCGCGGCCCTCGCACCGGTTCCTGCCGTTCACCAGGGTAAGGGAGGCACCTGGGAAAGGAGGAGAGAGGGAGAACTTGGGAAAAGCCTCGAGCACGCAGGCACCTTCTCTCGCCGCGGCACTGGCAATGCTCGATGAGTGTCAGGCCACCAGGACTGTCGTGCTCTGCCTACTTAGGCTGTGCCTTTCCCGCGCTCTGCTCTCCCATGGAGCAGACCAAAGCCCACCCTCTGAGCCACTACCTGCTACAGCCAAACGTAGTAGCCAGGAAAGCCAGGCTAGATTCAGACCCACCTGGAGAAGAGAAAGCCCTCAAATTGCCTGTGGTAGTATTTGTAGCACCTGTTAGGGAAGGAAGAGAAAGAAGCAGGTGAGGAGGTTGTGGGTGAAGGGGCATGAGCAGGTTTTGTGGCAGCACTGGGGAAGCTGGAGGCACCGTGTCAGGCGTGTGCTGGAGAGCTTGGGGGTCTCAGTAGGGTGGTCTGCCATGGTGGGAGCAAGAAACCCCCCAGTCTTTGAAGACGCCTCCAGCACATACCAAATGGTGGCCAACCTGGGCCACCTGCTGAAAGCAGATGGGGATTTGGGAAGGAAGAACCACGGTACCTGAGCACACCACACCAGCATCTTCCTGGTGGCCACAGTTGTGGGTGCCCCAGCCACGGTGGCTGCACTGGAAGAGGGAAGACTCGCTCCCCGTGCAGTGCACATCGTCCAGGTAGATATTGCCCGTGCCTTGTCCAAAGGAGGCACTTGATGGTGCAGAAACAGCAGAGCCACATCCCAGCTGCCTGCACACGACCTCGGCATCGTTGAGGTCCCAGCTGTCATCACAGACAGTGCCCCA